TGAAATACCCGAAACAATAAACAAGCACAGGTAAAAGAGTTGTAAAAGAAGACCATAGAAAACAGCTTGAAAACTGCAAGTGTAGATCGGAAATTCAGTGTCAGACACGATTAAACCGTAAAGCTAGAACCAGACGATATTCAAAGTTCATGTAATGGCCACAAATACCGCTCAATTTTTTTGTACATTCACTTAGACTTGAAGAATTATTGACGGATCAAGATCTTTAACACTAGCCTGTATCCTTGTGTAACAGAATTTGTCAAACGAAGGTACACATACAGCAACTGACTGAAGGGAAGCGTTGCCTGTCCCGACCAAAATCCCAACTCGGACAACGGAGCAACAAGGAAACGAATATTTTCAGGAGTGGCGCATGACGTCATCCTTGAAATAAGTCACAAGAAATATGTCACGCGAAGCTTTTTAAATCTTATTAAACTGACTGAAAAACAAATTAATGAGACGAATTAAAGACAGGATTTCAATGGTACTTGAATGGGAAAGAAGCTCAATTTCACGTCCCCTCGTTATTCAGGTTTTTTTTAAGTCATTCCGAAAAAAACACGATTTCACCAGCACGTCACGCCAACTCACGTCGCTTCTCGTAGCCAGGGGCGTAGCCAGCCCATGGGCCTCTACAAATTTTTGGCTTGATCAATTTACTGCTTGTAGTAAATAATACATTGTTGGGGTGGGATTAAAAGCTTAGGAGCTCAAAGTAGTGATGAGGGCAGTGCGTATTAGTCATGCGTGCAATTTTCAGGATATGTGGAAATGAAAGTCAGCCACGCCTTCAAGTAGTCGAGTAGCTGGCTACTCCCCTGGTAGCTGTAACGTTTTTTACATGAGATGAAGCATTTTTTTAATGGGTGGTGGTGGGGGGTTGTGAATACGAAAGTCAGTAGACGTTAACAAGGACGAAGTGATTGCAGGTTAGGACGATTCAAGAGAGAGATGCTGGCGAAGGGGAACAATGAGAAGTGGCTGTAGAAACAAAGGCACATGGCAGAAAACTGATCGTTGCAACGAAGAAAAAGAGATCAAAACAAAATGAAATGACTATGAACAGGCTCCTGCTATGGAAAGATGTATTTTGTGCACCTTCCCTTCCCCAAAGCAAGCAAATCTTGGCAAAGATCACTTTGTCAAGATTCAAATACCCAAAATAATCCCTACTTAAATCAAGCTACCGAAGAAAAAACCCGGCATCATTCGTGTCACTTAAAATCGGGGGTAAACCCCCTCCGCCCCCCCCCCCCC